AAAAAAAAAAAAGATTCGCATGGTCGTTCCATCTTTCTTTTCGGGAAATCGAGAAATGGTCGAAATTGTTCAATCCAAAAAAAAAGAGGGAAAAAGAAGAAACGCACAATCCCGCTTCTAACACCGAAGGACTGGAACTTTAGGAATCCATTAGCCATCACACTCGGTAGTGGACTTTCGAACCAGGACTATTTCGACTGAATCTGGCCATTATTCACGCTCAGATACGTCCAGGCCAGCCCTCTTGTGGAGAAGAAAAACAAAGTTGCCAGTTCTTTCTTTCTTCTTTCTTCTTTCTTCTTTTCCGCGCACACCTCCGCTTGTCGACGCTGGATAATCCAGTGGCGAGGTCTCACTAGCAGGGAGGGGTGGATTTTACCTCTGAATCTGGACTTCACTGTGCATACGTGCAGAAAGTGGCTTTTGATCTGCTCCTCTCCACCTCTGCTTGAAACCCATCCAGATTCAGGCGTTTAATCCAACCGTCTTTGCCAGTGGGACCTTGCTCCAGGAGGAGTACGCCTCCAGACGACATCGGCGAATTTACATCCGCGAATTTACATCGGCGAATTTACGTGCGCTCCTTTTTTCCCCCTCCCCTCTTTCTTTCCTTCCTTTGTTTTCTTTCTTCTCTTTCCTTTTTCTTCTTCTTCTTTTTGTTTTTAACTCAAACTTCAGAATTGCATTTCGAAACCCCCCCTCTCCCCCCCTCCTTCTAGAAGGGCAACACCCTTGAGATGTCAATCATCCAAGTGACCGTTCCCAGGTAATTCAACATTAATTGAGGGCCTCGCTGCACTACTCTCGAAATGCAGAAAAAACAAAATTCAGGGTGGTGTGTATCTTTCCATATTCTAGCAGAAGATTCACTCTCGTTTTGCACATTTCGAGAGTGGTGCAGCGAGGCCCTGATTCACACTCGTAATTTGTCTGGGTTCGAACTCAGATTTGGATTAGAGGTGGACCCCACCCAAAGTCTGGAAAAGGCAGTTTCCCTGGTAAAGCGACGCGGAAGTCCTGGAAGGTTTTGGAAAAGAAAAGACGGGACCCCGCCGAAGTGCCTCTTTTCCAGACTTTTGGAAGAGTTCTTCCAGACTTTCGGACCAGTTTGGCTGTTTTGTCCGCCGTCGAAGCCCGGGTAGGCCGTGGTGGACCTGCGGGGTGGCCGCTGACAGGTCGTGGGTGGCATTGCGTGGCATCCACGCTGCATTGGGTAGCAC